CCTTCCCTATGATTATTTGTACTGTATAAAGCTTTTTTTTTTAACGAGTCCTTCTCTCTGGCAATCCACTTATCTTTCACTGCACATTGTTTGCAACAAAAAGCTTTATTTATTTTAATAGGGCTACATTGCAACTAAGGCATTTTCAAAAAACACCTGCATCATTGCCAAAATGGACAAGAGGTTTTTACTTGATAAATGGTTTCCTGCACCACCTCAAGGACACAAGGTAGGGTGATGAATGAAAGTGGTGAGAAATCAATTGCCAGCAAAAAGTACTCGCTCCCTACCCACAAAGAGGAAAAAAGGCTCCAAGAACTGAAGACAAGTTTCTCCACAGGGCTGAGTCACTCTAAAAGTCTAGTCTTTCTAAAGTTGCCTTGCACTTGACTAACCCCTTCTCCTTTATCAAAGATGTGCGTACAGATTCTGAATGCCATTTTTGGTTTTTCTAAATGCTGTTTCCTGGGTTTGTTTCTTTGATGCTTAGGGACCTAGTCCTCACCAACTTCCACCCAGAGAGAATTGCTTCATTATCTCAAGAAACAGACGCCGAAGCTTGCGCCCATACAGAAAACGCATTTAAGCTCTCTGCAGAGGAATTCCCTCTTCCTTGCTTACCCAGCTGCTGGTGAGTATACTAGTAACAGTGTTTTGTATACCAAAATAAAGATTAACAAGATTACGAATAAGGATGAAAAAGATTTAAGTGAAGATGAGCAAGTAAATTATTGAAGTCGTGTGGTTTTCTATGACTTTTTATAAATCAGTGAATGCGTACATAAGGAAAAAAAAAGCAGGTCTGTCACTCTTCTGCATACAACTTGAAGACCAGGCTTTTTCAGGAAGGTTTTGGGCTCTAGCTGTTGACACAAGTCTGAATTTTTTAGGTAATTTCATGCATATATAATACCTAGCTACCACTGGTCCTGCCACAGCACGATTTTGAGATTCAAAACCCAATTTGCAGCTTAGATTTGTCTAAAAAGAGTGCACTAACAGTTGCTTGTAGTATAAGTTTAGAAAGATGCAGCTCAATTTTTAAATGGCATTTCCTGGTACTTTTCCAACATTATGTTGGAAGAATTTCAGCTACATTGTTCTCTTATGTTCAGTCCAAACCTAATCAGTTTTTCCTTTTCTTTCAGGATCAAACTTCTTAAAGCAAGATGTTTCATGTCTGAAAGTTAATCTTAATTGAACCGCCTGTCTATTGCTGTGATTAACTATTCCTGACAAAGTTTTGGGGAAGAAAATTCGTAGAACTGTGTACCCACAAACAAGATTTTTCTCCTTGATAATCTTCTCTTGATCACATTTTCAACCATTTATCTGTCTCTTCTTCTGCTCTGTGTGGAGGCTATTGGGTCTCAGTAAAATTTATCATCAACCGACATTGGTCTGTGCTGTGTTTTTACTAATCCTTTAAAAAAGTGGAAGCAATTCCAAAGACAAGTTGCATCTTTGGACTTAAACTAGTGTTCTTGCAAAATCCCAATTTTGGCATTCAAACCCCATCCTGTACAATTTCCCAGTGAGATTTCACATGCTGCCTTAAGCAATTATTCATCACTACTAAAAGCAAATGGTTCTATACATACCACATAACCATATCTAAGATAATACGGTCTGAAGTCCAGATTTATAGAAATAAGCGTATCAGTTATTTTTATTTTAACTTCTTATTAACATATTAAGTATTATGTTTTGTTTTAAAAATAAGCATTGCAATGCAATATGGCCAATTACAAATATACAGATGCACTATTACTCTGATCAACCCAGAAATCAAGCTGCAAGTAACAGAATTAGTAAGTGTATTAAATGCAGTTTGGAGTTGAATACAGATGTTACTTAACAATGTTTGATAAATGTTTAACATAGGAAGCAAAAAAGCATACCCTAGCCAATTAAAAGTGCAGTTGAAAACTTGAAAGAATCAAATTATAGTTAGGCCAAAACTAAGGCAAAATGGCTGGGACCAGTTTCTTCATTTAAAACAATCACTTCAGTAACTCAGTCTGTCTGGAAAATACCAGATCTTCACCTTCCCTCCTCGCTCAGAGGCCCTTTTGTTGGAGTTTGAAAGGAGTTACTCCAAGAGACACTTTACCCATTCAGGAACAGTCAAGAGTTACTCTAAATAAATGATGCAGCAGCCTGTTCTGTTCAGGAAAATGTTTTTGGGGTCTTGAATAGTTAACTGATACTAAAACCAAAGCAAAACTGCACCCAAAAATATTTTAGCACCTCCAAAGAAAAGCAACCATATGGTTGCAGTATTTAAACAAAGTTCCTGTCCGACTTCCCTGGGAGTTTCTGGAGAGAATCTCTTCGCCTTTTCCAACTTAACACTGCATTTTCCCTGAGATAAAACAGGCACAGCCCTCTTCACTTACCCAACTGCATGTCACTGGGAAATGTCTTCCTGGGGGCCTTTGAGCCCTTGAAGACTATGGGCCAGACTCTGTAACAGATGATGACTTGAAGTCCCCCGAGGCAGCAGGGATCTGACCTGAGCAGGGCCTGTGGCACAGCACAACATCACACAGCCCCAGCTGTCACAGCCCCACATGCAAAGAGGGCAGCAGCCTTGCAGGGAAATAGGGATACCCCTCTACCGGGCTCAAACCGGAGAGTCCATAGTCCCCTTGGCAGGGAATACCAGGGCACGGATGCTTCCGGCAAGGGACAATGCCTGCTCCAATACCATCTCGTTTAAGGCAAAAATTTCAACTAGAGGGCAGAAAATGTTTGCAACAAGGTCCAGCTTCTCGCAAAACTACTTTAACTTCATGCACATAGATTCCCATTTTTACTACAATATTACACATTGTGACATTTAATACATCTCCAAGCTTTTTTTAATTCCATGAAAAGCTTAAATTAATGATGTGCCTACAGTAGCAATTAAAACTTTACAGAATACAGGGAACTACTACTGAACCAATGAAGCAAAATATTTGCTTCTTCCAGACCCTAGGAATTTAATTGCAATTTTACATTCTGGCAGGTTTCTTGCTCTAATTGGGATGTCATTACATTTCACAATGTTCATTATTCAAATTTAAATTGATTCAGGTTTAAACTGATCAGGAAGAGAACAAGACTCAAAAAGAGATTGCTAAGCAGTGACATGACAGCAAAGATTCCAGTGAACCTGAAGAGACATCAATACTATGACTCTCAAAATGTCCATATAAGTACAGAAATATATATTCTTAACAGCACAGAAAATTAGAGTTGCTTACCTTGCAAGAAAACATCCTTCTCAACAAGGATGAGGCCTGAGCTTTATCACTAAACACAACTTCCATGATCTACAGCAATCACTTCAGTAACTCGGGCTGTCTGGAAGATACCAGATCTTCACCTTCCCTAATTTAATTAAAATTGTAATTTAAATTCTGAGGGCCACCCATCAGCATGCCACATAAGTATTACAAACTCATAGGATTTTATCCTAAATCCTACTGCTCTGTTTTTCTCTTATCCCACAGCAGGCAGCATATGAAGATTCAACTGCATTTACATTTAAAAACACCTGAAAAACTGTATTGACAGAAAAAAGTTCAAAAGTCTGATTGAAAAACCCGTTTTGTGGGGGGATTTTTTTTTTTTTTTTTTAAACACAAAAATAGTCTCATTTGAGACACCACCAGCAGGTCTAACAACAGTTTTTCGGGGGAAAAAAAAATACTTAAACGGCTGTAAATTAATAAAGCTGGAATGACATAAAGGTGGCAGGGCTGGTCCTGCCAAGGTCACCCAGGCACAGCAGCCCCAGCCCCCGCCGCCGCCTCAGCAGGGTTTTCCCGCCGTTTTTCCCGACCGTTATGCTTCTCCCCGTCACGCGCCCAGTGGCGCCTCAGAGCCCTGCCGCCCGACGCCGCCTCCGGTCTGCCCTTCTCCATCCCCCCGCCGCAGTTCTCCCGCACCTCAGCAAAAGCAAGCTCTTTTGTTCCTTCAGCAAAAGGTTAATTCCTGTCGGGCTGCCTAGGGAGTTTTCTCCACGTTTCTCTTCGGGTTTTTTTGACTCTCCCCAGCGGCGCCACAAGCAGGCGACGGTGAGTGCGGTCTGCCCTCAGAGCCCGCGCACAAACCTACGTTTTTTCACACAAATCCGTACAAGCGCTGCTGCTTGTAAAGAACCAAGAATATCGCCACCATTTAGCATAACAGTACGTACCAAAAATGTCCCTTTGGACTTGCAGACTGGGCTCAGTGAAACTGAGACCAGATTTAATTTAGTATTGCACTTGCAGGACTGTTAGAAGTGATTTTTATATATTAAAAAACCCTCTTTTTTTTATTAATGCGCTGGAGTCCAGTTGAAAAGTAATTCTGGAATCTTTACAGTGATTCCCTGCCACAGACTCGGGTTGCCTACAAAATGAAACTGAGCAACTTCACACAAAACCCAAGTATTCAAAAACCTCCCTAACTGAATGATCACCTCTTTCAATAAGCATTTAAATCACCACAGAAAATAAGCTGAGGCAAGGTGAAAAAAAATTATTGCCACAATAACAAAGAGACATCCACAGACTTGCACATATATGTAATATTTCACCTTGAACTGCCTATTTATTGTAAGACAGTTTTCAGTGGCAATGTTGTATTTAGGCCATATATTTTGGTGGGCCCTATGGTAACATACAGTACATTTTGGAAGATACAAAGGCTCTTATTTATTTTGTCTACTGCAAGGCTTTTTTTTTTTAACCCCTAGGCTATCTCTGGTCTTAAGTTTGACATGAACTTTCAGAAGTAATTAGTACATGTCAGAAGTTACTATAAAACATACTTAATTTTTCACTGCGAATGGATTCTTATCTGATAATTATCAAACTCTGGCAGGTCAAAATTTGCAGAAGTACAATCCCCATATTTATGAAGTAGTTACAGCAGGAAATAATTTTCACTGACATGCAGACAGGGATACAAATTACAAAACAAAATTATTTCAACACTTATACATTTTCAGAATTAGGTGTGGAATGGTTATGAGGTGCATAGTTCACATCATTCATTCTACCTGCACTAACATTAGCTCTGCAGTCAAGATGAAATTCACTGTGAGCATGCATGATTTTTTTCCCCCCTTATAAAAGAAAACTTCGATTCAAAACCGTTCCCTTCATCTCTCAGAAGTGCCTATGTCTGCCTATAGCAAAAAGGTATTCTCTGGGGAGATTTTTCTCCTCCAGAGTGAGCAACTCAGACCCTATTAACCTAATCAGATGAAGAAGTAAGGATTTTTTTAAAGGTTTAATTATGTGTTCTTCAATCTACAGAAAGCCTAATCCATGTCCATTTTTGTTAACACTGTTGCAAAACTGGAGCAATGCACTAATGGATCAACCACTTTCTTGTAATGCCTAAGCAGAAGAAATTTAAATTAATTCTCCTCATTCTTGTAAAATACCTGTATATGATGGTACAGGTCTCAGATGCAACTTCAGATTCAGCTCTTAAAAAAGCAACCTACTATGTGTTTAGTTTGCATTATTCTAGGGTAGAGCAAGGATGACTCACTTAGGTGACTATTGGATCCTTTTTTGCTTTCATACTGGAATTACAAGGAATACACTTAAACACCAGATTAGGAAAAAGGCACTAGGATTTTCATGACCAGATTTGTCAGCCAGACCTGCAGTTACACTTCTGGTTTTGATTTTCATTTCAGATTGTGACTACCATCCTTCTTGGACTCTTGCTGACTCCAGCCCTTGCTGATGAGTGTAGTGAGCAAGTTACACATACATTGCTGCTGTTTCTGTATTCCCTGCTTCTTGAGTTTATCTTGCTTCTTTCCCCATCCCTTTGGAGGAAAGGAATCTAAAACTTCTTTCACACATAAAACTCTAAAACCACCAGATGACAATTGTAAGATACAGAAATTATTTATTGAATCTATTAAAAGAATTCTTACGGCTACTACAAAATGCCACAGCCTTAATTCTTTGTCATTTTGAAAATACTGTGGTCACTAAAGGCGTTCCCTGCGGGCCAGCATTTATTCTATTATAGCAGTGATTTTCTAAAGCTTTGGGGAGATAACTAACTTGAAAGTCTAAAAGTGTTGTTTAATTTTGTTTTCTAGTTTCAGAATACAGAAGCAAGCAAGCAAATCACTGTTGCTGGAGGCTGCCAAATTCTGACCATCAATAGGGAAGAGCATGTGGCAACAATCGAGGAAAAGAGCACCCGTGGGTCATGGAAAACCATTTGGAGCTACGATACAGTGAGTGGCAGAGAGCATGCTTTTTCAGAAAATGTACAAGGAGACTAGCTCCTATAAAGCTGACTAAAATACAGGACTTTTCTTTATTCTTAACATTTTGAGTCCAAGTTTTGGGGTAAAAAACTATCTGCATTTATTACTTTTTTAATACAGACTTTATTCCAATCTTAATTATTGAAAAACTGGATTCCTAGTTGCCAATAACTTTATTTTACAGGGCCTTATTGCAAGCAAAGTGCTGCCAGAGAGAACTTGCTTCATTTCCTTAATGAACAAAAAGGAGATGCCTAGTTTTGATGCACTTGCCAGACTGGCTGAAGAGAACAGGGTAAGATTAAAATACTTGTAAAGTTGTACAGTAATGCAAAGTAAACTGATGTCAGAGACATTGCTATTTTCAAAAGCTTTTAAACCAACAGTTACTTTAAAAGCCATTTAGAGCACGCCATTGATTATGAAGTCATATCAATATCAATGACATTTTACATTAACATAATTTGAAACCTTTGAAAAGTTAGAATACCCTGTTTCAGATGCTTGCAGTGGAGGGTTTTCATGGTTTTTTGATGTTGTATATCACTTAGATTATTTTTATAATTTTTAAAAGATTATTTAGATTGACTTTTTAAATACTGTTTTATGTTTAGAGATTTTAGATTTTTGGCATGGTACTCTTCATAATCTCACATTCTTTGCAGGCTAAAAAAAAAAATCTTTTTTTAGGCAGCCCCCGGTGAGGG